AATTTGATGAGCCCTAGATGGAGAAAGTTTGGCGCAAATTAAGGGTTGTCTCAATTTCAACAACGGAGATGTTTCTCTTCTAACTCCCGCGCTGAAATGAACTCTGCGTGGAGCCAAGTCTCAACTTCTGGTGAACGAACTATAGACTATTTCTTTAAGGCTGAGGCTTACGATTCAAGATGCTTTACTTCTACCAAGGCTGAACTAGATCCGTAACTTAACTGTTACGAGATCAGCCTTGTCTCTACGTAAAACTATGGATCTGAGAACAGAAAAATTTGGTATTTTATAGATTTTGATGAATTTAGCGATAAAAAATCCACCTTATTATGATTATTATTATTATTAATAATTAAAAAATATTTTTGAACTTCTATTGATTATTTAATTTCTTTGAACTAAATTGTATAGTTAAAATAAATATAATTTATAATTTTGAAATAGCGAAAATATATCTAGTTTTTTGTGGAACTAGCGCAATTAGGCAATCATAATGTTAAACAAAAAGTAATAAAATTATTTTTTTATTGCATGAACCAATGGTTGAAAGATCACGCGATTCATTTCTAAATTTCATGAATACATTTCTTCAAATTCGCTATCCATGTATTGTGTTTTTAGTTCGAAGGTAAGCTTAAACAGAAAACAACAGTTGTAGCTCATTTACATTGTACTAGAGCTGCACAATGGGCCATTGGCGACTGTCTGGGAAACATCCTGAATGATCCGAAGACATGCCATCGCGATTTTGATCCTCTGCAGAGGGGATGGCATCCCCGCTTCGGTAGCCCAACGACCTGCACGAGAAGTCGAGCACTTTACGGTAGAACAGGAGCCAATACCGCCCGCTCTCGGTCCCTACGCAGACTAATCCAAGTGATCACCCACCCGCACACCGACAGCAGCCAGCGATGCTTGACTTCGGTGATCTGCTGGGAACCGTGTCTTAACGATCAGTCCACTGCAAGACCAGAAAACAACAGATAACAGCTATAAACAGCATGCTTGTAGCTTTGTCTTTGTAGCGTAAATCACAGCAACATAACGTATAGATACGTAGCATCTGAAATAAATGTGAGGATGTGCAATTGCTTGAAATCTTATGTACGGATGCTGACGTAAATTTACGAAATCTCCCTATTGTTTACAAGTAAAATTACTTCTCATTATTTATTACTTCTTATTGTTTCGCAGAATCCTAAGTTTAATATTCTTTCAAATACAGTAAAATGTTGTTTTTTTAAAATCAAGTTCATTTCGTTACGTTTGACTAACTAATAATATATGCATGCATAAAAATAATGCTAATCATACATTTTATGAACAGCATGAACGTTTTTGTTGACTTTTAAGAAAAGAAAATATAATGATGAAGAAAGCAATCACGAGGGTTGGTGAGCGGAGTCTCCTAGTCATTAAAAAATATTTGAGTAGAACATTAGATATTTAGTAGAAAATATTTGAGTATTTGAGTAGATAATAAGTAGAACGCAAACTAATTGGAAGCGAAAATTTTAATTAAAGCATCAAACAAAAAAATTCAACAGTTACAAAAGAAAAAAAAAAGATTATCAGTAAACCATGTTATTTTTATTATTATCTAAAAATCTGAAGTTTATTTTCTTACGACAAAGTGACGCTCATTTTCTTACAACTATGAACGTTGATGTGAGATCAATAAAAAAAATTTTTTTATCGGGATCATTTTAAGTTCGCACGAAAACTTTCTTTGTATAAAAACAATGGAAAGACAAGAAAAAAAAATCATTTGAAAAAGGACCACATTGAACTCATTTTACGTTCCAAGATTAGATAAATTGCGATAATCGCTTTTGATTGATGATGAATTCTTTTATTTGCTAGGTAAGAATGGAAAATGGTTGTATTATCATTCAGAATAGTTAAAACACAAAAGGTTTAGCTACAGGATAAGTGGTTGGGATTTCTTTAAAAATAAATTCCATTTTGCAATAAATTTTCTTGGAAACAGTAGAAATTTTTATTTTAAACAAGCATAAGAGCTACAGCAGTGCTTTAGCTAATCAGAAAGGGAACGACTAAGAGATTCCATCATCACAAACACGTAGGCCGTAGTAAAAATTTACCAATTTTTTTAAAAAAATATCGCTACTTTTAACTATTTATTACTTATTATAAATATTCCAGTTTTAAATGTCTGAATCACAAGAATACATAGTGTCAAAACTGAAATGTGAAATGCAACATAGTAGAAAATGAAGATCATACAGGAGGTCAATATCTTTAATGAGTATTTATAATCCGCATTATTATAGCCATGTATTAGCTAGATTTTTAA